TTCTAATCAAGATCGCACGGCCATTGCAGAACGGCTTCGCACAATCTTGATAGTCGAAGGTTAGCTTGGGATTCGATTCCGTTTCCGTCCAAGGATAAGCCACGCGATATGTCACTCGAGTCGCCAACGGCCTCGGCCCCTCGTTCGCGGATAACGGCCTGGCTAGATCGAGCAAGCCCGACGGCGTTCTCAACCTACTGCATTGTCGCCGCGTTCACGACCTACTTCTGTATGTACGCGTTCCGCAAGCCTTTCACGGCCGCGGAGTTTGCTGATTTTTCGTTGATGGGGCTCAGCTACAAAGCGGTGCTCGTCGCCGTGCAAGTCGCCGGCTACACGCTCTCGAAGTTCATCGGCGTCAAGGTAATCGCCGAGATGCCCGCCGGCCGCCGCGCGGCGTCCATCCTCGCGCTGATCGGACTAGCCGAGGTCGCCCTGTTAGGATTCGCGCTCGTCCCACCGCCCTACAACTTCCCGATGCTGTTCCTCAACGGGCTCCCACTGGGGATGGTCTTCGGACTCGTCGTGTCATTCCTTGAGGGGCGGCGCCTTACCGAGGTCCTTTCCGCTGGGTTGTGTGCGAGCTTCATCGTGTCGTCCGGCGCGGTAAAGTCGATCGGACGCTGGATGCTGGTGGAAGGCGGCGTCGGCGAGTTCTGGATGCCGTTCCTGGTTGGCGCCATCTTTGTTATGCCCTTGACGCTCGCGGTCTGGATGCTCAGCCAGACGCCGCCGCCAAGCGCCGCCGACGTCGTTCATCGCACCGAGCGTGTCCCGATGGACCGCGCCAGCCGGGCCGCCTTCTTCCGCCGACATGCGCTGGTGCTGACAGGCCTGGTGGCGATCTTCGTTGCTCTCACCGTGCTGCGAAGCCTACGTGACGATTTCGCCGTCGAGATCTGGCGCGACCTCGGGCACAGCGGCGCGCCGTCGGTCTTCGCGATCTCCGAGATGTGGGTCATGCTCGGTGTGATCGTCATCAACGGCGGCGCCGCGTGGATCAAACCCAACCGGTCGGCGATGCTCTTCTCGCTCGTGCTGGTGCTGTTCGGTTTGGTGCTCGTGCTGCTGAGCTTGCTAGGTCGCTCGGCGGGACTGCTCGACCCCTTTATGTTCATGGTGCTCATCGGCCTCGGAGCCTACATTCCGTACGTTGCCTATCACACCACGGTCTTCGAGCGTTTGATCGCGCTCTATGGCGAACGCGCAAACCTTGGCTTCCTGATCTGTGTGGCGGACGCCGCGGGCTACTTCAGCTACGTCGTCGTCATGTTCGCTAAGCCGCTGCTTGTAGCGCAGAGTTACCTGAGCCTCTTCACGCTGCTCTCCTTCTGGATTGCAGTAGGCTCACTCGCCATCGGCGCGGTGCTGCTAGTTCACTTCGCCCGACCAACCAACGCTAGCGCGGCAGCGGCAGAGCCGCTAACAAGCACCGTGTCATAGCGCGCTAGAATTCTTGGCGATTCCTGGCGTTCTTGGCGTCGTGGTGGTTCCTACTGCCGCCCCGCCAATTGCCTCTCGACATACTTCGCCAGCACGTCGGTCTCGATGTTGACGTGGTCGCCGACCTGCCGGGCCCCGAGCGTCGTGACGCTTAGTGTGTGGGGTATCAGGGCCACACTGAACCGCCCCCCCTGCTCTCCTGGCAAGTCTTCGACATCAACCAGCGTCAAACTAACGCCGTCAACCGCTACGGAGCCCTTGCTCGCCATCTGGCGGATTTGAGTAGCAGGGACGTGGAACCAATACTTCGACCAATCGCCGTCCGGCTCAATCGCATCGACAATGCCTAGACAATCAACGTGGCCTGTCACATAGTGCCCGCCGAGTTGGTCGCCGGCCTTCAGCGAGGGCTCGAGATTCACTCGGCTACCGGCTTTTAGGTCGCCAAGATTCGTGCGCGAGAGCGTCTCGCTCCCCGCCTGAAACGCGACCGCATCGCCTTCAATCCCAACGACCGTCAAGCAGCAGCCGTTGATGCAAACGCTGTCGCCTAGCGCCACACTGCCGGCAATCAACGCGTCACGCACCGTCAGCCGCACGCCGGGCCCTTCTTCGGCGAGCGAGACCACTTCAGCGAGGGATTGAACGAGGCCGGTGAACATGAAGCGGTTAGCGGTTAGGCGTTGGCGGCTAGCAGGCTAAGCCGCAAAGCGGCCCTTCGTGGCTAACAGCTAACCGCTAACTGCTAACCGCTCGCACGTCAGTGCAAAACGGGACAAGCATCGAACCACTCGCGGCGCTGCGCCGCCATCCACTCGGTGCATTCGACCGGGCCCCAGCCGCCGGGCTCGTACGTTAACAGCTTCGGCTGGTCGGTCGCGGCCCAGGTGTTAAGGATCGGGTCGCAGATGCCCCACGCGGCTTCGACCTCGTCGGCGCGGGCGAAGAGGCTCGCGTCCCCTTCGATCGCGTCGAGCAGCAGCCGCTCGTACGCCTCGGGGATGCTGCCGCCGAAGTTCTTTTGGTAGTTGAAGTCGAGGTCGGTCTGCCGCATCGTCATGCCGGCGTCGGGGACCTTTGTTTGGAAGTGCATCTGGATCCCTTCGGCCGGCTGCACCTGAATGATCAGGCGGTTGGCGTCGCGGATCGTCTTCGGCCCTTCCTTGAACAGCATGTGCGGGGGCTGACGGAACTGGATGACGATCTGTGTTGTCCGACAGCTCATCGCCTTGCCGCTCCGCAGATAGAACGGCACCCCCTGCCAACGCCAGTTGTCGATCCCCAGCTTGATCGCCGCAAAGGTCGCCGTTTTGCTATTCTCCGGCACGCCCTCGGCTTTGAGGTAGCCGTCGTACTGGGCGCGGACCGTGTCGCGGGCGATGTCCTTGGGCGTCTTGGGACGCACCGCGAGCAGAACCTTGACCTTCTCGTCACGCACCGGGTCGGCCGCGTAGCGCGCGGGCGGCTCCATCGCGGTGACCATCAGCAGCTGCAGCAGATGGTTCTGGATCATATCCCGCACCACGCCCGCCGAGTCGTAGTACCCGGCGCGGCTGCCGACATTGACCTCCTCGGCCACGGTGATCTGCACGTGGTCGATGTACTGTCGGTTCCAGATCGGCTCAAAGATCGCGTTGGCGAACCGCAGCACGAACAGGTTCTGGACCGTCTCTTTGCCGAGGTAGTGGTCGATGCGATAGACCTGATGCTCCTTGAAGTGAGCATGCACCGTGTTGTTCAAGGCCTTGGCCGAAGCGAGGTCGATGCCGAACGGCTTCTCGATAACCACGCGGCGGTCACAGCCGCCGTCCTCGCAAGCGAGCCCCGCCTTGCCGAGCTGTTCGACCGCCTGCCCATAGAACCGCGGCGCTGTCGAGAGGTAATAGACCCGCGATGCGTTCTGACCGCCTTCAAGTTCGCCAAGGAACTTGCCGAACGCGACGAAGTCGCTTTGCTCGCCGATATCGCCGGCGTGATAGAAGACCTGCTTGGCAAACTCGTCCCAAACCTCCGGCTTGAACTTATCGCCAGCGAACTCCTGCGTCGTTGCCCGCAGGTCCTTCCGCCACTCGTCGTGCGAGAAAGCGGTGCGGCTAAAGCCAACAATCCGCGCGTCCTCCGGCAACCGCCCCTTACGGTGCAGGTTGTACAACGCAGGGATCAGCTTGCGGCTGGTGAGGTCGCCCGAGGCGCCGAAGATAACGATGGTGTGCGGCATGGGTCTTGTTCACCGCGGAGGACGCGGAGGACGCGGAGAGGAAAACAAACCTTTGTAGGTCAGGCTGTGCCTGACGTCCCGCCTACGGAAGTTGATCGGCGCTCATGAGGTTGGGGAGTCGTGACACCTCTTTGCCATCTCGGTAGACAACAACCGTCGGGACAATAGTAACCGCATAACCCCTTGCTCTTTCTGGTTCGGAATCGACATCAATTATCGTGATGTCGTATTTGTTGGGATCGACATTGGCCAGGACCTCTCCTGTTACGCGCCATACCGAAGCCCATTTTGCCTTTATTGCTACAAGTAGTGTTTTGCCACCTTTGTGGTCCTCTGGCAGTCCTGTGTAAGTCGAGACCAAAGTGAGGTGTGGCTCTTTACTGCGAAATGCAAAGTAGGCAATCGCTACAAGTGCCAAGAGTGCTATCGGTATCGCAAGCCATTTCATCTCATTGTCTCTCTGTGGACATGGCGTCAGGCACAGCCTGACCTACGTCTCCGCGTCCTCCCCGAACTCCGCGGTGAATCCCCCCTTCACGAAGGATCCTTCCGCAGCTCAATCCACTCCGTATGGAAAAACTCCCCGCGTGGCTTGTCGGTCCGTTCGTAGGTGTGGGCGCCGAAGTAGTC